TCTCCTTCTCCAGGCAATGGTTCCTTCTGACAACATAACCAAAGTAGGTGAGACGAAGTCTGGCCATTCTCGCTTCTAAGGAGCATTGTGGCTATACTTCCTCCAGCACAGATTTGTTAGTCCTTTTACCAGTCCATGGTACTCTCAGCATTCTCCTCCAACACCACAACTCAAAAGCATCAACTCTTTTTGGTCTTCCTTATTCATTGTCCAGCTCTCATATACATAAGAGGCTACTGAAAATACCATGGCTTGGGTTAGGCACATTTTAGTCTTCAAGGACACAAGTTTGCTCTTCAGCACTTGAACGAGGTCTTTTGTATCAGATTGTCCCAATGCAATACATCGTCTGACATCTTGACTGCTGCTTCCATTGGTGTTGATTGTAGAGCCAAGTAATATGAAGCCCTTGACAACTTCAATCTTTTCTCCATCCTCCTGTTGTGAGGATTTTTGTTTTCTTTATATTGAGGTGTGATCTGCAGACTATAATCTTTAAACTTCATCAGTAAGTGCTTGAAATCATTCTCATTTTCAGCAAGCAAAGTTGTGTCATCTATGTATCTCAGGTTCTTAATGAGGTTTCCTCCAATCCTGAAGACATGTTCTTCTTCATGTAATTCAGCTTCTTAGATTATTTGCTCAGCATAAATTGAATAAGTATGGTGAAAGGATACAACCTTGGCACACTCCCTTCTTGATTTTGAACCATGCAGTATGTGCTTGTTCTGTTCAAACAGCAGCCTCTTGATCTACGTACAGGTTCTTCATGAGGACAATCAAGTGTTCTAGAATTCCCATTCTTCTCAATGTTATCCATAATTTGTTATGATCCACACAATTGAATGTTTTTGCAAAGTCAATAAAACATAAATAAACATCTTTCTGATATTCTTTGTTGTTAGCTAAGATCTATTTGACATCAGTAGTAACATCCTTTGTTCTATGTCCTCTTCTAAATCCAGCTTGCATTTCTGGAAGCTCTCTGTCAATATACTGCTGCAACCATTTTTTAATTATCTTCAGTAAGATTTTACATGCATGTGATATTAATGATTGCTGTTGTTGTTGTTGTTATGTGCTGTCAAGTTGGGCCCAACTCATAATGACTCCTCCTTGGGTTTCTGAGGTGGTATCACTACGGAAGTAGACTGCCCAACCTTCCTTCCAAGGAGTGGCTGGTGAGTTTGAACTGCTAGCCTCTGGTTAGAAGTCAAATGCCTTAGGCGCTATGCTACCAGACCTCCTGATATTAATGATATTGTTCAATAATTTCCACATTCTGTCGGATCACCTTTCTTTGGAATGGGTACAAATATGGATCTCTTCCAGTCAGTGGGCCAGGTAGCTGTCTTCCAAATCTTTTTCACATAACTGAGTAAGTGCCTCCAGTGTGGCATCCATTTGTTGAAACAAAATGGTATTCCATCAATTCCTGAATCCTTTGTTGTTGTTGTTGTTGTTATGTGCCGTCGAGTCAGACCTGACTCATAGCGACCCCTCCTTGGGTTTCCGAGGCAGTATCACTACGGAAGTAGGATTGCCCAACCTTCCTTCCGAGGAGTGGCTAGTGGGTTTGAACCGCCAGCCGTCTGGTTAGCAGTCAAGTGCCTTAGCCACTATGCTACCAGAGCTCCCTCCTGAATCCTTATTCTTCCCAAGTTCCTTCAGTGCAGTTTGACTTCTTCCTTCAGTACCATTGGTTCTTGATCATATGCCATCTCCTGAAATGGATGAACATTGACCAATTCTTTTTGGTACAGTGACTCTGTGTATTCCTTCCATCTTCTTTTGGTGTTTCCTGCATCATTCAATATTTTTCCCATAGAATCTTTCAATATTGCAACTCAAGGCTTCAATTTTTCCTCAGTTCTTTCAGCTTGAGAAATGCCAAGCGTATTCACTTTTGGTTTTCTAACTCCTGGACGCACATTTCATTTTAGTAATTGGCTTTCTCTGCTTGAGCTGCTCTTGGAAATCTTCTGTTCAGCTCTTTTATCTTATCATTTCTTCCATTTGCTTTGGCTACTAGTGGCAAAGTGTCTAAGGCATGGGACTGCTAACCAGAAGGCTGGAGGTTCAAACTCACCAGCTACTCCTCGGAGGAAGGTTGCATAGTCTAATTCCATAGTGATAATGTCTCAAAAATCCAAGAAGGGGTCACTATTAATTGAATCCGACTCCATGGCAGTGAGTTTGGTTTTTTTTGGTTTACTCTCTGCTCAAAGACAAGTTACAGAGTCTCTTCTGACATCCATTTTGATCTTTCCTTCCTATCTTGTCTTTTTAATGACTTCTTGCTTTCTTCATGGATGATGTTCTTGATGTCATCCCACAATTGCTCTGGTTTTCGGTAACTGGTGCTCAGTGCACCAAATCTATTCTTTAAATGGTCTCTAAGAATATAATCAAGGTCATATTTTGGCTCTCTTGGACTTATTTTAATTCTCTTCAACTTCAACTTGAACGTGCAGATGAGTAGTTGATGGTCTGTTCCACAATCAGCTCCTGGACTCATTTTGGCTGAAGATATTGAACTTGTCCATTGCCTCTTGTCACAGATGTAGTCAATCTGATGTCTGTGTATTCTGTCTGGTGAAGTCCACGTGTACAGTTGTTGTTTATGTTGTTATATTTGCAAAGAATAAGTTGTTGGTCTTGCACAATTCTATCATGCAATCTCCATTGTTAATTCTATCACCAAGGCCATATTTTCCAATTACCAGTAACTCTTCTTTGTTTCCAACTTTTGCATTCCAGTCACCAGTGATAATCAACTCATCTTGATTGCATGTTCAATCAATTTCAGACTACAGAAGTTGGTAGAAATCTTTAATATCCTCATCTTTGGCTTTGGTGGTTGGTGCATAGATTTGAATAATAGTAGTATTAACTGGTCTTCCTTGTGAGTATATGGATATTATACTATCACTGTCAGTTCTGTCTTTCAGGCTAGATCTTGAAACAGTCCTTGTATGCTGCTTTTCATTTGGGTATGCCTCTTTATTAAGGCCAGGGACTGAAATAGATAGGCCCAGGTCTTGGAGGCTCTCAGATATAGTCATGGTTAAACGTGATAAACTCCAATAGCTTCAGTTTGTATCCTGGTTCCAGTGTTCCATTAGTTCTATGATATTAAACAGATTTTCTAATTTCTCAAAGTTTTTGGTTTTCTTGTCTGAAAATATTAATAATAGGTCTGTGTGAAGATCAAATGTTTCAGTTCATGTAAATTTTTTAGCATAATGCCTATTGCATAAAGAAATTCCTATGTGCATAAACAGTTGGTGTGAATTAATTTCTCTCAAAGCAACCCCCTGAGTGCCAGAGTAGAACTCTACTCCATAGGGTTTTCAATTTTTTTTTTTTAAAGTAGATTTAAAGGCACCTCTGGATAAACTTGAACCTCTAACCATTTGCTTAACAGCTAAGCATATTAAACATTCACACTATCCAGGGACCCTGCCTGTTTCCTAGCAAATACTTATGGGACATTCTTGTTGTTGTTAAGTGCCATCAAGTTGACGCTGATTCATAACATCCCCGTGACAACAGAATGAGACAATATCAGTCCTGGACCATCCTCAAAATCTTTGCTATCTTTGAGCCCATCATTGCAGCCACTGGGTCAGTTCATCTTGTTGAGGGCCTGCCCCTTCTTTGCTGACCCTCCACTTTACCAAGCATGACATCCTTCTCTAGGGAATGGTTCCTTCTAAAAATTATTATTCTAAATTTTATATTTTCCTTGATTTGTCTGTGTTATCTAGTTGTTCTGCTATGAGCATGAAATATGGTGATACCTTCCCTTGGGACCCCACAGACTTTTTATCCTTACTAGTTTTGAAAGAAACATCTTTCTCTCTCCATAGATACTCTGAAAGATACTATCCAAATGTCTGAGTATTCCTGTTTCCAAACACATCCCCAAAACACAAATAAACATAAACATATATTATATATGAATAATGCAATATTATTATACTATATATACTATTATTATCAGTAGAATAATAATAATAATATATAATATATGAATAATATCCTCAACTAACTTAGGCATTTAGAGAAGGTAAGTTTTTGTAGTAAGCCTTCAACAACTCCTTAGGCCAGGAAAGAACAGAAGCCTAAATTCATTCCTTTATGTGTCTTTTTGTAGTGCCCTAAAATAGGGTTTCTTACTTATTCTCTAAAAGCTCTGCATAGTTATGAAAAATAAAATAAATGTAGCAAAGTAGCTTCCCATTATAGATGCTTTTGTTCTTTAAAGTTATTGTAATTATTTCTTTCAAAATATTAGAGCTTAAGTTCATCCCTGACAGATGGTTATAGCATGATGAGTGAAAAGCATTAGTAATTTAACATATTTAAGCTACCGTGGAAAATTAGCAACTTTCCGAAAATTGAAAAACTCATTTCCTAATGTGATTTAGGCAAGGCTGCAAGGATTTTCATTAAATAATATAAAACAAATTACAGGCATTAAAAAAACTCAGGGGCAGTAAACAGCATCATACTAAGAGATGATTTTCACAATGTTTTAACTATTTACAGACTAAAATAATTTTACTTAACTCTAGTTTTAAAACTAGAAAAATCCTCCTTGATTACCAGATAAATAACTTGAAGTAGTTACTGTTACTATTATTTAAAATTTGACCAGTTGTATCTGGAAAATGATTGATACTAAATGCGTTTTTGAAGTTTAAATTAAAAGTAATTATGAACTTTAACACTACAATAATTTGTGTGCCAAATGTACAATAGTTTCTCAGCTTTGTCTTCCTATATCTCGTTACAGTAGATGCTCATTTGTTAACCTAGAAGCACATGAAAAATGAGTTGCGGAGTTTATCAGATCCTTCACTTCTTAGTGAGGAATGCATCGAATTTTAATTATTGCCAAGACATCAAATGTAAAATCTTTGTTTTAGTTAATTTGGTGCTGGCTTCTTTCTTACGACTTCGACCATATTGTTCTCTTTTGTTTCTCTCTACAGAAAGCTGACCTTGCAGTTGCTCCATTGGCTATTACCTACGTTCGAGAGAAGGTCATCGACTTTTCCAAGCCCTTTATGACACTTGGAATAAGTATTTTGTACCGCAAGCCCAATGGTACAAACCCAGGCGTCTTCTCCTTCCTGAATCCTCTCTCCCCTGATATCTGGATGTATATTCTGCTGGCTTACTTGGGTGTCAGTTGTGTGCTCTTTGTCATAGCCAGGTAACATGCTACTTTTGTGATTTTTTTGGCAATTGTTACCTCCTTTTTCTAACTAATAATTGTCAAAAGTCACAATGAATATTAATTTTCCTTTTCTTTATTTCCCATGGGGTGCTAAAGAATAATGAACTCTTAAGTCACATCACTTTTTACAATGTACTATGCTGCCTTTTTGGCAGTAAGCATGCTGGTTGTGTCAGTAAGCTATAAGTGTGCTAGTTTTTATTATTATTAATCAGAACCTAAAACCAGTCCAAATCACTATGGTATGAGAATTACTTCCTCATTTCTGAAGATTAATGTTGAGTCTGACAGCAAAATATTCTGTTACTAGCATGAATAAATAATTCAGTCATAAGAAAAACTAAAATAGTAAAATTTAAAAGGAGATCTTTTTTTTGATAAAGAATGAAGTCTAATTTAAAGTAAGCATTGTAAGTATAAAAAGACAAACATAACTTTCTACTTAAAATTTATCATTGTTTTCATAGAGTAAATATATCACCACACAAAATTGCTTAATTTTTACTTACTTAGAGGAGTTGTTTCATGTCAAGTACTTAGAAACTGAAATGCCTAATAGAAATATGTACTGTTTTATATTTTTATACTGGCTTTTAAAATGTATGTTTCAGCTCAGTCTAACTTGATTTTCTATCTTATTCATACTCTGAAGTTGAAATTTGTAGTCGTTTTTCACATAGGCTTATCACACTATTAAAATTTCAACTGATTTTACTTTCACCTTAATTGAAAGATTATAATTGTACCTCACAATTCAAAACTTGTATTTCAATGCCCTTGCAGGTCTTATATTCATGATATTCTTTCAATTTTTATATTCTAAGACATATCTAGAAGATAGCTCAGAATCCAAAATTAATTAGAATCTTACATATAATTTTTCATGTTGATAAAATGCTTGGTAGCTCTAGTAGCATAGTGCCTAAGGCACTTGACTGCTAACCAGAAGGCTGGTGGTTGAAACCCACCAGCCACTCCTCGGAAGGAAGACGGGGCAATCTACTTCCCTAGTGATACTGCCTTGGAAACCCAAGGAGGGGTCACTATGAGTTGGGTCCGACTCGACGACACACAACAACAACAACAACAAAATGCTTGTAATTTATTAACTATGTATATGTTTGTGCCTTATCCAAATTTAAAAATGTGGGTTTTATTTCAGTTACACTGGATAGATTCTTCTGATAAATATACCATTAAACATATTTGTGCTTTCTCGGACTTACACTCTTTTCCAATGAAATCATGTATTTTTTCCTAACCTTTAAAAAAAGTTTAGTTCACTATTCTAAAAGAATAAGAAAATCAATTATACTACAAGCATAACATTTCTGATAAAGTTATACATAAATATTACATAAATTTGTTATTTTCTACTAATTGACACAATATTAACTCTTAAGTCCTTAAGACAACTGTCAGTTGTATCTGCATAAAAATTAGTAGCAAAACTATATATCCATAGAACATTTGAAGCTGTAGGCTAGATGCTGTTAAATTTTTATTTGAAGTTTGAGATTCTCCAGAGCATTTGGAATATGAAGTTCATAGTCTTTTAAATCCATTTCTATTTTCTGTGAAAAGTCTTCTAATTTTTTAGAATTTTGGGGTTATATACATCCTTTTTATAGTGACTAACACAAGCCATAAGGAACATTGGTGAAGCAGTGGTTAAGGCATTCGGCTGCTAACCAAAAAGTCAGTGGGTCGAACCCACCAGCTGCTCCAAGGGAAAAAGATGAAGCAGTATGCTTCCCTAAAGATGTATAGCCTTGGAAACGCTGTGGGGCAGTTCTACTCTGCCCCATAAGGTCACTGAGTCAGAATCAACTCTGTGGCATTGGGTTTGGTTTAGTTTCTTTAACACAAGCCATCTATTCCTCACATTCAGAGAAATAAGTTCTAAGGTTTTAGTTTAAGTGACCCAAAGGCTAGAGATCACTACACCCTACCTAGAGAACAAAATAAAGAAAGAAAGACAGAAAAACTACAAAATATAGGAAAAAACGAACGTTCATTGATGTCTGCAAGTACACCTATTCCTTCTTAAATCAAATTAACAAAGGTTTGTAGGAAGAGCAGGAATCTATCAAGCTTACTCAAATGGTAGTTTCTCTGAAGATATTAAACAAAGCCTTTGTTTTGTTAGTATTTTCTTCAAATTTATATTAGGAATTTTAAATAATTTGGATAACTTTTTTAATCCAAATCTTATGAAATTAAATTCAAAAGCAAATAAGGAAACATATAGATTGTTTTCTAGCTTTATTTATTTATTTATTTGCAAATAGAGATAGGTAGTAGAAATATGTACTTAGCTAATTTGCAAAATATTTTGGTAGCTATCACTTTGATAAACCTGCATAGATCAATATGGAATCCTATATTGATTTTATTATATAAAAGAAAAATATTCATGTCACTCTCTTTAGAATGTAAACTCAGTGACAGTGTGTCATTTTTTTGTATCTTTAAATTTTGGAATGTTACAGTTCCTTTCTGGTCAACAGTTAGTCAATGAATGGATTTAAAATTTATACTATTCCAGCTTCCTATTGAACAATCTGAAAGCAAATTATTTCATATTGAAAAAAATTGAGTCCAGAGTCTCCATTTTTGAGCAAATTAATACATATTTACTAAATAATGTTAGATTTCATTGTATTAAATAATTAATAATATTAGATATTTTTGGTCAAGTAATACTTAATATAGGAATAAATATTCTTTATTTTCTCTCAGACTATATTGTTCAATTCCGAAAAGTAAAATTATAATTTTAAAACCAATTGCCAAGTTAAAAATAAACAAAAACGGATTAAAAATTCTTGAATGAAATGCTTTGAAATCTAAACTGAACCTCTTAACTTAAATGAATTTGATCCACCAAATCTATTCTGGCATGGTCTTCCACTTTTGCTACTGTGACAGAGTAGTAAAGTATTTATTTCTGACTCTAAATACCTACTGTTCTTGAATGTCATTTACAGAAACATTTTATAGTTATCTTAAATTTTTTAATACTGCCATGTATTTTACATTTATTTTCCTGAAAATTGACTTGTAATATATATAATAATTTTCACCGGAGAGAAACAGACAACTCTAAAGGAAATAAACCATTTAACAGATTGTTAGTTTTCACTAGAATACCAAATTTGGGGCTTATTGAATATTTGCTCTGTGACAGTAGTAACAATATGATGAGGTAATGTTATGACAAATTAAGATCTAATAATAATTTCTAGAATTTATAATCTTTTACACTGGATTTGAAATTAGGGTGTTTTTGTGAGTCCTTTTAAAAATTTTCCCTCACCTCTATTTTAAAAGAAAAATACCTAAAAAGGCCACCTAAGAAATCTTTACTAAATGTTTTATATTGTTTTAGCCAATATTAAGGAAGGAATATACACCCTTATTGTTTTTATTTATTTTTTGTTAGTATGATTTTATAGTATATGGCCTCTTAAAAGTAGCTGCATTTTAATAGCTTTATGACATAATCAGCATGCTTATCTGAATTACCTGAGAACCCATATTTGAAGAATAAGATGAACCTGGATTATGGCATTCTATACATAGAATGGCCTTATCCCAGACATCCTAACAATAGCTCTTGGCTGTTAAAGGACTAGGAAGAAATCTTGTCCACTAGAAAATGAAAGCAAGTAACAAGATTTTACCCATGGTATGGTTTCATGGCATTTATGTTTGGGGAAAAGAAGATAGCAAGGTATAAACTCTTAGCACATGGGTTGTACTTAGTTATAACAGCCCCCAAACCTTTCCCTCTTCTTTCTTTTTAATTTTTCTTTGTAATAGGTATAATTGTGTAGCCATAGCAGGTAGTCATATAAAAAGTTGGTTAAGCCCCCTACTCTTTATACTGATGAATAGTGTTTTCACCTTGCTTCAAATATTTCCTTTATTAAACAGCAGAAATTGTACATATCATTTATAAAATGAATTGAGTTAAATTCCCATAGATATGAGAGAATTTTTTAAAAATTAAATTATAGATGTCTGTCTCTAGGAAAATCAGAAATATTCTAAGATCCAGCTTATGAATCTTGGTCTAGGGTTCTTAACTATAAAGAAATGAAGAACTGAAATGAAAAGAAGGGAATAATAGTACATTTATTTTTTTCTCCAACAGGATTGATATAACCTTAGTAATTATTTATAAGCAAAACAATATTACATATTTTATTCTAAGATTGACATTTTAAATTTACATATAAACTCTGGATCCGAAAATATAATATTATACCAAATTTTGTAGTAAGAATATTATTAAACAAAAATTTCTTAGGCAACTAAAATGAACAAATCAGTATAGGTAAAAGGGTAAAAAAAAAAAAAAAAAAAAAGCCAAGCACTATTGACTAATATGGCCTTCTTATCAAAGAATAATCAGTGTGTTAAGTACACAACATTCATTTTGTTGTACACTAAAAATAATACAGGAATTTCTTGTGTGTTTTTGTATTGCATTATCTTGCATGATTTTTATAATATTAGAATATTATGATCTCAAATGACAGGCTATTGCATTCCTGAGAGATCTTATACTTAAAAAAAAATATTCTGTATTTCTCTCAGAGCTCAGAGGCAAAGTTGTTCTGAACATAGTGTTTCTCATGGTTTAACTGAGTTTAGAAAACCATGTCCAAGCACTTGGTCTTAACAGCTTTGGTCTTGACTCCTAACTAATGTGAAGTAGCTTTTATAATCCTGTCACAGTGATGGGTGACATTTAATGCATGGGGAAAGGCAACAATGAATTATTATGGACTTAAAAATGGGTAACTGTTTTGGTGGGATGTTCCATGTTAAACTAATCTGTTGTCAATAAGACCATTGTCACACAAAATGAAATACCAATTTTGTTCTGTGACTTGCAGCTGATTTTTCCCACCTCTTACACAGAGAATCATTTCAGTTTTACCTATCTACAGCAAAATTTCACATGC